TATATATATATATATATATATATATATATATGAGCCCCCAAACGTTTGGGATTAGTAAAATGTTTTTAAATAAATTAATACTTTTATATAGCAAGGATGCAAGGCCAGTAAAGATTTCTGTTTTAAATAAATGCTGTTTTTTTTTAGCTTTTTATTAATCAAATAATCCTGAAAAATGTATCATGGTTTCCACAGAAATATGAAGCAGCGCAACTGTATTCAACATCGAAAATTATAAAAGAAATGTTTCTTAAGCACCAAATCAGCATATTAGAATGATTTCTGAAGTATCATGTGACACTGAAGACTGGAGTAATGATACTGAAAATCAAGCTTTGCCATCACAGGAATGAATTACATATTTTAAAATATATAAAAATAGAAAAGAGTCTAAAATTGCAATATTTCACAATATTACTGTTTTACTGTATTTTTGGTGAGCATAAGAGACTTGTTTAAAACATAAAAAAAATCGTACCACTCCAATTTTATAATTGTACAGTACATATTTTTGTTGGTCTTGTTTTTGTTATCTTCCTAAAGTTTTGAATGACGTGCAACAGAAATATAGGATTTGCTTTATTGACATCTGTTAACACAACCTCCACAAGTTATCCGGTATGATTTGAATTCCAGGCTTAAATTGTGACCCTGGACCACAAAAGATTTTTTTTATGCCAAAAATCATTAGGATATTAAGTAAGATATTTTGTAAATTTCCTACCATAAATATATTAAAACTTAATTTTTGATTAGTAATATGCATAGCTAAGAACTTCATTTGGACAACTTTAAAGGTGATTTTCTCAAGACATTAATTTTTTTGCACCCTCAGATTCCAGATTTTCAAATAGTTGTATATCGGCCAAATATTGTCCTATCATAATAAACCTAAGAAAGCTTATTTATCCAGCTTTCAGACGATGTATAAATCTCAATTTTGAAAAATTGACACTTATGACTTATGTTTTGTGGTCCAGGGTCACAATTAGACTTTAAATCTAACAGGATATATGTGGTATAAACTTCTGGACATCACTGTATCTTTAACATATATTGCGTGGTTAATGGTTTCCAGTGTTGGAAAG